CATCCAATTTCCTGTCAAATATAAGTTTATTAACTACAATATATTTCCGTAAACAATCTTTCGTTTTTTTAGGCATGTTTAGCATCAATGGGATTACTTTCGCGCTCAGATGAATACTTATGAAATTGTGTGTAATACAGGAACAACGTCACCCCTCATTGTTAAACATTATCTTTCAGCATTCTTGTTAACTCGTGCTTTACCTGACATTAACTTTACTCACCAGACCTCAACACAGTTCTCGTTTCCAAGTTCGTTATTTGGCTCGTTTACATCCCAGTGAATGAAATTAAGAGCTTCATCATTTGAGTAATAAGTGAAAGTCCCTTCGTGGTTTTTATCGGTTATACCAAGCCAATAGAATCCTAATAAAAGAAAATACAGGCAAGATAAAACAAATATTTTTATGTTAATAAACAATTACAAAGTAGTAATTAGTTTTCATTATTTCATGATTAAAATGTTCAGTACAGAACAATTACGATGTATATATGCTTGCAAGTATACCTGCCACGTATAAGCTCATTATTGCGTCCATTTGGGCTTGACTTTTTGGTTGTGCGAGTTGCCATCCCGACATAGCTTCACATCTGACTTTGGCTTCATACCAGTCCATTAGGCCTGTAATAACTTTATATGTGGGCAGGGCACCTGCATTACAAAATGATTAATAATTAACAGCATCCCTATATACAAAGAAAGTGATATATGTTGGCAACTAAAAAAAGTTAATATTCTATGTAGCTGCAGATAGACAGTGTAGATATGTTGATAGTGTCTTAATTCAATTATATATAACAAATGTTTTTATATAAAATGATACAGTAACAGTAATAATATTAAAATCTATTTGAAAAATAATTCCGTCGAATCGCCACATAGAACAACAACATAGTATACACATAGATGTAGTGATAGATATAGTATTATTTCTACAGATATATAATCTCATATGAATACAGTAAGTCATTTTTAAATGTTTTAATTGAAGCCAAATAGTTGGGCGTCAAATTGTATAATGAGAACCTAGCAGCTTAAATTCAAGCATTGAAACTTTGTACTTTCTAACACCGTGCACACATTTGTATCCTTTTAAATACTTGAAAATTATATTGTCATAAACTGTTGATTAGAAAATTAGAATACATTTACAATACAAACTTATATGGCACTTTTAGTATTTCGCTAACAAAGAAGGAGCACTTACGATTCTCAACCAATACCTGAAAAAGAAAGAAAATGAAAATAACATTTCGTTTCGTACAGTAGCTGTTTATCACATACAGCTGAGCCTCAGTTCGCAAGTGATCATTGTAACAGCCTATCGTGTTGAATTCTCTTCATCATTCAAAATGCTTTCTCCATTTCTGATGAACGTTATTTCTTTGAAACATCATTACAGGAAAGTTACGAACATTTTGTATAAATATCTTTAATGGTTTTCGAGTCAATCAGACTAAATTTAAATATATATGTTTTGTCAGTTTATGTTTAACCTGGCAGTAGGAGCATGGTATCATTAATATACATCGTAATTTTGAATGTTTGAATCAAATTTAAATTTATAATACTACCTCCCTCCCTTACATGTCATCTAATTCTCAAGCTAAACATTGCGATCGATTTTGCCTATTAATGCGTCGAAAGTACGCGACAATTGTCTTTGGTCATTGATGATGTGATACAAAGGTAAATTCAGTAAATTCAGAATAGTCAAATTTGAATAGTCAAATAGAAAAACACTTTTGATGAAACAAATACTAACAACTAATGGTTTTGATTTTCTAAAGGAATTTTATACAATCACAAACAATATCACGTCATTATGTGTCAACAAAAGAATATGTTGAATTCTCAGAAGCAATACTTCAAACCAATTATTTCTGTTATGTCAAATTTATTCTGGTGTATCGCACACTTCTAAATCCACTAGGCGTTGTGCCGTCTAATCGTAGAAGGGTGGTATATATAAAAGATCTGAAATTATGTTGGTGAGAAAGCAATAGTAGATGATTCGTGAATATACACAATACGTCGTGAACCTACCTCATGTGGGGCTGCTATAGTCAAGCTGGTAACCACAAGGATCAATAATAAACGTAACATCGTGGCTTTCTTTCTTACAATACTCTTCAACGGAAAATGCTATGCAGAGACGTCAGAGAAACACTCATGCAAATGATCCGCTCTTTCGATTATAACGATTTTTTGCAGACGTGTGTGTTTTTATAATCCCTCCATTTGGGAGCATTTCTATTGGCTAATCTAAATATTGCACATGCAAGAGAATTATTTTGCGCATACTCATTTTCAATCATCACGCGGCTACTGCTGGTAATGCTGTAAATTGTACATAGCTCAGAAATACACTAAACGTTTTGACGATTAACGCACACTACTGAGGGGAAAGCGAAAGATACTTTTATACAACATTGGTACATATGTCATGATGTTTAGAGTGAACGAAAAGAATTACATTGCCGCATGTCAGTCAAATATACCCATCGTTTTACTGAGACGATTCAAATCAGTTACTCCATTATAAGTGACCGTTTTATGTTCAAAGTAGTTCTAAGCATTGATTACAATGTGTTGCCGAATCATTAACTTTTATTATAGAAATAACATTTTTTACCCAAAATATCAGCACACATAGATGCACATATGCAAATGTTGAGTAAACAGCATATGTGTACATTCAAACGTAACATAATATTGTGTTGTCATACTGTTCTGGCAGTAGTCAGCTCAAAGCTCACACGGAAAGTAATATTATTTTGATGATGCTGTGTTGGGAATTTTCACCTCAAAAATAGTCATACACCCTTCCCCCACCAAGCCGTGTCACAACATCCCAGTATAGGGGAACTGTCTAAAATATCTGATGACGTCATACACAACTCCAAGCCGCAACCCCAGAAATAAAAATGACTTCCGGGATAGTTCCCGAACATGTGTAGTCACGTGTTCTAATACATTATCCCTTGCATTGCATCCATTACATTTACCCATGATTTATTAACAGTATATTTTACCATTAATAATTACTTTGGCTTTTGGTAAAGGAGTACCATCGCAGGTGACATTGCATTTGCCCCTATACCAACTTCTTCTGTTCTGATTATATTATTTTGTTCCTGTAAATTATTTTCGACTGTAATTCGAAACCTTATGAACGTATCTTTCGCGAATTTGTTTGTGACGATGTATGGTGTAAGTATAAGTTGATATTGTTCAAGTGTGCATAAAGTTTGGTACATTATTTGTGTCAGAAATTTGATGCAACTGGTCCTCGGCCCGATGAATAGAACTTGTTTGTAGAATAAATGATTCAATTTAATTCATATTCAAATGTTTTAGTCTGTTTTGTTGTGGTTTTATTGTTAACACATTGCTGGCAAGCGCAGCATAACATATTTTTACAAAACAAGGGAGAAATAATGAACTGTTAAATAAGAAAATATAGAAAAAATATTAATGTAGCTAAGAATAACAAATATTCGACTGCATCAACACAGGTGAACTGGCAATTTCTTCTAGTCGATACAATCCCGTCATTGTCATTGATCAGTTTTATTTTTCATTTGTATCGGTGAAATGATCATGATGGCTTTCCTTATTACATTAAATTACATTAAGTCAATACGTTTAAAGTGATAATAACAACAAAGTTGATACCGACTCTGGAAGGCGTGGACAAATATATTGACTCTTAAGCTTACAATGGGATGTCATCTAGGCCGACAATTAAGTAAATCTGGCTACTCTCGTTTGTAATTGGAAAATCAGAAAGACAACATAACATACCCAACCACAGATCACCAAAATTCTCATTAAAAGAATACGAATTCGTAGAAAATATAATACGAGAAAAAAGCATAAAATTGGTCCCACCCGTTACAGAATGACACATAGGTCCAAATAACAAAGAGGTGGTGCAACGTGTTCCCAGATGATTAACACATTGAAAGCTTATTCTACAAGCACGACTTGCTTAGCAGTTTACACGAGTCTGAATCTAATCCGATGGCAGGCATCAGGAAATATGGAACGCCCTATCTTTATCACATTTATAACTGATACCGTTATGATAAAATAAACACATGATTATATTATGTGAAGAATGCAAAAAGTTTCATTGATATTCTGCTGAAATTCTGCTCAAAATAAATTTTAAAAAGCTTTTTCATCTTTCTATAACAAATAACTGTCTGACGAAATGAACGATTCTCGCCAGGCTTCGTGGTTCTAACAATACTTTAGCTAACATTCGGTGCAGTGAGTTGTTAATCAGGTTGCAGATGTGTTTAGAAACCCAGCCAGGATAATTATATCAAATAATGTCTATGACTGTATACAATGATTTGATTGATGATTGAAAAAAATACCAAAATAAGATGTCCGATTTTTGGAAAAATATATTTCTAAAATGTATGATGAAATTCAGGGAGTCAGTTATTTAAAATATGAAAAAGTATGTAAGGATTCTAGTCTGGTGTTCATTTTTTTCGTACATATCTTCCCAAATGTAGACGGATTGCACACGCCGGAAGAAAATACAAGTGTATACAATGGTATACACCCGAATATAATATTAAAATACAGTGATTTAAATACTCTTCGATTATATATTTCATTCATTATTTACTTTTCGGGTCTTTATTGGTTGGAGCACCAAATATTTTCCTGTGTAATGATTGTGTGTGTGATATTTTTGTGGAGTAAAAAGCTCGCCATTGTCAACCTTTTTATTTATTGCATTTCCTCTGTGATTTCACTGTTGAGGTCACAAT